ACTGGAGACCAGCATTGAAGCTGTGACATAACACTCTTTTCTACAGCCCTTGCTTCTTGTCATTAACCACTCTGGTAGGTCAAACAGGTGAAGTGGAAGAAAGGAATATGATGATGATCCACTCATACCACTTTCCTCTATATTATTGCTGAGGCCTAGCAGAGGGAGGACGTGATGCCACTTTGACAGGAACTGCTAATGTGGTGACACTAGAAAAGGGCTGCAATGCTGGATCTGAAATCTAAGAATGGAAAAGACAGAGTCTAATAAAGAAACACCTCCAGAATCTCTTGTATTTATTCTTTTGTGTGTCTATATTGCACCTCTATACTGTTCCACTTTTTTGTATCCAGCTCCTCCCCTTGTTGCTCCTCTAATCCTCATCCAGTGCAAATCCTCCATGCCGCTTCTGTTTTCAACCAGAAGCTCCACCTGCACTACTTTTCTTCTCCAACGGTCTGTTTTTATTCCTCCCTGTCTCATCCAGCATCTCCTGGAGGGTCCTCTCCTCAACTCTACTCCAGTCAATGCAACTTTCCTTTGTTTACAGTGTTTATCTATACCACCCCCCCCCCCCCCCATCCTTTCTAATATCAAAGTACTCTTGCTTTCCTTCCTTTTCAGCATCATTAAACTTCCACATTCCCTCCAGTGTTCTGCCAAGGATTGGGTGGCATTCCAACCACATGCCAGTGATAATGGAAGATCCACCTGGCAGCCACTGATTTCATAATGGCAAACAAACTGTATAAATCACACATCAATGTCAGAACCCCCTTCCTGGGACAGACAAAAATGGCATCAGGACCTTTAACTGTAGCAGGCGATACCTGGCGGCAAGACAGAAATCCTACCAGGCACAGCCATTTAATCTTTCTGAATATATTTATTGGTTATGAATTATTCCATTTCTTTCGTACTGCAATGAATTGTTTTTTGTAGTATACCTGTAGTTTTTGCTGCAACTATAGGATTTATTGCCTAATGCCCCATACATACAATGAGAATATCGGACAAAAAAAAAAAAAAAATCACTTTTGAAGGGACCGTACAATAATGTAATCATTAGTACACAGCTTTCGATAGTCGAGCATGACAGTTCATGCAACAATATCCGAAGGGAGAAGCATGAAAATGTTTCTCATCTTGATAACAGCGCAAAATAGTTTTGTTTAATCCGTACATTATTTGTCCGAAAATAATTGAGAGACCAAGACCGTGCGTGCTCAGAAACAAAGACTACATTGCAATATAATACAATGCATAATATCACTTCAGAAGTTGTATTCTGTTGTATGAGAATTTTTGTAACTTTAGTAACCTTTTCATTTTCGATATCAACTTGTATGCAAAAAAAAAAAAAAACGGATGACCATTCATTCGATATTCTCATCATGTGTACGGGGCATAACAATAATATTGTTTTTTGGAAAACCTTGCTTGCTTTGTGTGCCTATTGTTCCTTAAAGGAGATGTAGGGCCCTAATTCTCATATGGATCAGAGGTGTGCAATTCATTCTGAACTTCTGTAACTCATTTTCCGCTGACTTTGGGCTAAAACCTGCTATTGGCTATCACCATCACAGTGTCGGTCTTGACTCTGGAGAGATCCCGACTTTAGTGTCAGGATCCACCCAGATGCCTGGTCTGGCAGCTGGCTCAGGCTCTCAGCATGCCGCCGAGAGCCTGAGCCGGCTGCTCCCTCCCCTTCCACAGCCTAACACTCCAGTGAGTGCTGGAGGGGCGTAGCAGAGAGCGAGTTACTCTCTGCTCACTGAAGACTGAGAACTGAGCGATCAGTGGTCTTTGATCACTCAGTTCCTGGTCTAAGAAGTGGTGGAGGACAGATGCAGCATCAAGTCGATGATGCATTCAACTGGGTGAATATAGATTTTTTTTTTTTTACAGCCCTGAACATCTCTGTTCCCAACTAGGGCCCTAGCTGCATGGAGTTTGCATGTGTTTTCCTAAGTTTCTGTTAGTTTTTCTCTGACACTCTGAAGACACGCTGGTAGGTTAATTTAGTTTCTGTCTAAACTGGTCATAGTATGCGTATTTATGCATGTGAGAAAGGGATCTTAGATCCTTGAGGGCAGGGATTGATGTGAATGTATACTATGTAAAGATCTATTGGTGCTATATAAATACCTGTAACACACAAATTAGTAATTATTTATTGTATAATGTCTTGGCGTTCTGGTTTATACAGTGCAGCATATGAACATTGGTAGAGCTATAAACAGACTTCTAACTGCACCTAATCCTAGCCATTAATACCCCTGACCGCTGTTGACCTTGTACTAATGCTGTACTCTCCTTCAAGCTAAATAAATATAACCGCAGCTGGATGTTAATGAGTTGTGGGCTGTATACTGTTTTATACTTACCATCATCGCTATACCTAGAATTATATTTCCTTATTCTAATTGTATGTCAAATAGTCCACTGTAAGCTAACTTTTCTCACTTGCCTCCTTGCTCTGATTTGCGCATTATGGTCTTTATTCTGAACTGAACATTTTGTGATTTACATGATGAAATAATTGTTAATAGCTGGGGACTGGGTAGTTGTTAACCTTTCAAAAATATCTTACAGTACGCCTGAGTATGTGTAGGAGGGTGATAGCAAAGACGGATGTGCGCAAAATGATCAAGAGTTACAGAAGGTGGAAGGAACAATAAAGAAAGTGCAAGAGCTTATAATTTGTTAGGGTATAGGGCAGGAATAGAGAATTAAGAGGAGAGAGTTTACAATCTATTGGGCTACATTCATATTTGTGCATGTTGGGAATCATGCACTTTCCCAACATGTACAGAAATGCGCTGCGCTTTAGCAGACACGTGGTGGTGACATTAATTGTTAACCCTTTGAGGACCATAAGATTTCAGAACGCCAAAAGAATCAAGTTTTTGTTTTTAAAGTTCGTACACTTCAGTTGCTGAAACTAAGCCATTTCATGAAATAATTGGCAAAAAGCTAGATCCATTTGTTGATAAAATACTTTTTTTTTTTGGTTTGAGTCAAAATATTAGTTCTTAAGTTCTTAATCAGATGATACAGGCAATTAAAAACATGGGACAAATGCGTCCCTTGGTCCTCAAAGGGTTAATGGCAACCCCGCACATTTGCTAGTATGTGCATTTTTGCACATGCAAAATGCATGGTGCCACAGCACCATGTGCCTCTGTGCGATGATGTTTGTTGATGCTTCTCGCAAGTTTCTCTTCTATATGCAAGTCCTCAGGCTACTATGGACTGCATTCATACACTAGTTATTGTACTCAATCCTTTTTTGGAAACCCCTCGATGGGGCTCTCTCTTCTATAATGTCTGTACTTTTTTTTTTCTGAAAACCTATAAAGTCTTTTAAAAAAAGAAGAGTAAGTTGTAGATAAGGATGAACTTAAGAATAAGAAATGTGTCATATTTGACTTATTAGACACGCAGGCCTGCTCCATACCACCATATTATTATCAGTAATAATAATTAAATGAAACAAATAATAATAATGGCCAGAAAAGAAAGTCAGAGAAAGTCATAGTTATTTCTCACATTTGTGGTCAGTGGCAAAGTGACCCTTTAGGAGTAGGAGAAGAGGTCACTGGTAGTACACTTGTGGTCAATGAGAAGAACTCCTTACATTAGTGGTCAGTAGGAAGAATGCCCCCCTTATATTTCTGACTTCTGAAATGCTCAATGGTGTCAGAAGTACTTTATCTGAGAGGCAGAAATTGTTTATTGCTCAAGGTGATTGTAGCCGTATTAGTGCATTTGTGACAGAAACAATTGAGTACTGTCCGTGATACTTTTTTTATTTGCACTAACATAAAATTTGGAGGACAAGCTTTCGGGGTATGTCCCCTTCTTCAAAGTCCAAGCAGTACTATTACAAATCACAAAGTTTTAAACTTTGTGATTTGTAATAGTACTGCTTGGACTTTGAAGAAGGGGACATACCCCGAAAGCTTGTCCTCAAAATTGTATGTTAGTGCAAATAAAAGAAGTATCACGGACAGTACTCAATTTTTATTGCTCAAGGAACCCCCAACAACCATTGCAGAAACCCTATTTGAGAAAGACTACTACAGAAGGAGAGCTTGCAGTCAACTAAGGCAATAAGACCCCAAATCTCTCCTCTGCAATGTAAAGCATTGGATCAAAAAAAAAGCATTGATCTAGTGCTTTAAATACAATAAAAAAATGGTCGGAATGGGAAATGACATCGCTCCAGTCCTCCAAAGGCATAGAGATGAGTGGAGGTCGACGGCCGAAAGGGGCGTTTTCGGCAGAAACGTTTCTGCCACCAAAATTTCGGTGCATCCCTAATAACTACATTTGGAGCTGAACTCCAGGTATGATCTTCATTGCATAGTCCTGTTGAACCAACTTAAGTATGCATATCTCATACCTGATAGGCTGCTGGGGAAGCTGACAATCACTCTGGTAGTCAGTCTTACTACAGTGATCGCTGCAATCTTCTGGCTCCTGTGCAACTTTCCCTCAACATACTGACCACAGTAGGTCATTCACTTTGTACTGCCATCAATCACAGGAAGCCTTGTATTTTTTTTTTTTTTTGATGAATACAAAACGTCCTCTCAATCGGAATGAGCTGGAGATCGTGACATCCCCATCCCCCTCTGTCCACCTCATCCAATCAGCGAAGGCCTTGAATTCATTTTAAAAAATACAAGCCATTCTTGTGGTCAGTGTGTAGAGGGCACAGAACCCAGTTTGTAGCAGCTGTCACTGTAGTAACTCCAACTACTACAGTGACTGTCACCTTCGACAGCAGTCGGAATACTTACATTGTGCCAAGCTGGACTAGTTTAACCACTTGCCTACTGGGCACTTTTAACCCCTTCCTGCCCAGGCCAATTTTCAGCTTTCAGCGCTGTCACTATTTGAATGACAATTGCACGGTCATGCAACACTGTACCCAAAAAAAATTTTTTATAATTTTTTTGAGACAGATAGAGCTTTCTTTTGGTGGTATTTTACCTCCCTGGTGGTATTCCCGAGTGTAGCTCGGGGTAAAGTTTCAGTACCAAAAGCGGTAACCCTGAGCTACACTTGGGAATACCATGCGGCGCTGCTCCGGGATCCCTCGATTACTTACCTTGTCCTGCGTTCCTACGATGTCCCTCCTGCAGTGTCCCCTTTAATGTCCTCCGGCGGATGCCGGCTTCTGTCATCTGGGTTCTGTCCCCTGCAAGCGTCAGACGTACGGGGACGGAACAGCGGGAAATTTGAAAATGACAAAAAGTGACATTCACTAAAATCACATAGTAAAACATTCCTGTATCAAACCATTTCACATACATTTTGTCCCGAGTGCTTTGTCCTGTGCCCTGCCTGCATTTTTACTGTTCTTTCTGCCTGGAAACTGAGAAACGTCCATGGCATCCAAAAAGCATCACTTTAGGTCAAAAGTGGTTTTAGACCAGCTAGAGAACAGCGATAGTAAATCAGAACCACTTGCAGAATTGAGTGATAATGATTCGTGGGGGAAATTCGTCATCAGACACTGAAAACGATTTTGCGGCTTTGCTCATTGATGTGCGAACTTGGCGCTCTATTTCAAATTTCAGTGTTTTTGGTTTGATTATATTATTGAAATTAAATTTATTATTATATTATTTTTTTATGATTATTTATTAAATTATAATTTATGATTTCGTGTTTCAAGTTGTAACATACCCGGGATGTTTACTAGACTCTTGTTCGGACAGATTTCAGTGAGTTATTCCTAAAAAATTACAGGCCTACAATAAAAAAAATACATATTTCCATGCAAAAAAATATACCGCTTTGAGCAAAGAAATATGGACATAATCAGACCGCTAGGGAGGTTAATCACCACTAGGGTTTTAATTTTTTGCTAAACAATCTAAAAAGACTGAAAATTTTGAAAAAAAAAAAAAAAAAAAAAAAGTTTTTTTTAGTTTCTGTTATAACATTTTGTAAATAAGTAACTTTTCTCTTTCACTGATGTGTACACTAATGAGGCTGCAGTGATGGGCACTGATAGGCAGCACTAAAGAGAAGGCACTGGTAGGTGCCACTGATAGGCATTGGCAGGCATCACTTGTGGGCATTGAGAGGCATCACTGATGGGCACTGAAAGGCAGCACTCATATATGGCACTGATGGCCACTGATAGGCGACAGAGTCTGGCACTGATAGGCAGCACTGATTGGAACGGTTAGGCAGCACTGATAGGTGGCACTGACTGGCGCTGATAGGCAGCATTGACTGGCACTGATACGTGGTACTGATTAGTGACACTGATAGGCGACTGGCACTGATAGGTGGCACTGAAAGGCACTGATAGGTGGCACTGAAAGGCATCTCTGATGGCACTGATAGACACTGATATTTGTATTGATGTGCACTGATAGACACATATGTGGTATTGATGTGCACTGATGGGCACTGATATGTGGCATTGATGGGCGCTTACAGGTGACATTGATGGGCACTGACAAGCGGCGCTGATTGGGCTACTCTGATAGTCAGGGCACTGATGATCAGTGTAGATATCCGCTCTGAGGAATGCTGATTACCGGCTCACCTATCCTCATGCGCTGTCATCGTGAGGAGAGGACTGCCGATAACTGGCATTTCCTTGTTTACATGCAAGCAGCTGTGATTGGACACAGCTGATCACATGACAGAACTGATGTCATCGGCTCTTTACTCCACATGCGCAGTTAGTGTGGGAGGACATCATATGACGTCCTCCCAGAACAAGAGAACTGCCGCCCATCCATCATTTCCTTTTATGGCGGGCGGGAGGCTGTTAAGTATACAATAAAGAAAATTCCTGGAGTTCAGCTTTAGGCCTCATGGACACCGGTCATATTTGCAGCCACATTTAGAGGTGTTAGGCATTATTTTTTTTTTTTTTACTGCTTGTAAAACCCCCTAATGTTATCATTTGTGTCCATGCACACATAGACTTTTAGAAGCTTTTAGTAGCAGGAGCGTTTACAGGCAGGAAATAAACCCAGGACCAGTGCGTCCAGGAGCAGCGTTCTGGCAGAAAAAACACTTGACACATGTAAATGCATGTACGTAAATGTGTCCAAATGTGCCTAAAGACACTAGACGCGTTTAGCGCATGAGCGTCAATTCATTTTGATGGCCAAAATAAATTATTATTCTGGCCAATGAAATAAAATATCACCCAAGCGCTGGATGCCTGTAAACACGCCTAAACACTTGTAAAAACGTTAGACACTTTTAGAAGGTTCAGACATTTTTTCTGCCAAAACGTTGCTACCAAGAGGAGGATTGTTTTTAAAATGTCCTGTGTGCATGAGACCTTAATGGTTTGTTAATGAATATAGAGAAGAATTATTTGGTATCTTTTATATCTTCATGGAGTTCGGCTTTAAGTAAGTTTTACAGAGGTGTATAATGTGTACATTATTTTTCTTATATAACTGCATTATGGAAACAGGGTATGTCGTAGGGAGGGGGGCTTCTGAGGAGGTGGTCAAAGCTGTTAACCTGCCTAGGGCCTTGTCTGGCCTTAATCCAACTATGACTCTGGGAATCAGAACTTGGGAGAAAATATACAGAAAATTCCCCAGAAACTGCATCCAGAACTGCAATGCCAAAGTGATAAACACAAGGCAACTCTACTGCTTAACAATAAGCTCTTTCAGTATAATGTTGCATAGAAATTCAAGCTGAGTCAGAGGTAGAGATACAGCAGTGCATATAGTAACGTGTATGCCAAGTAAAGACTTTTGTTTTTTAGTTTTAGATAGAGTGGAGAAAAGTAAAAATCCCTTTAAAGTTTATTTTTTACTGCTACCCAAGTCCCCTGGAGAGCAGGACAGCAAGCAAAAAATCTCTCTGTTTTGACTGGACATATACTTTTAAAGTACGCCTCTCAAAAATCTGGACAATTCAAAATGAGCATATAATGAAGAAATACATAGGTGTAGAACCCGCCTACTTAGGGTATTAGGATGCTAGGCAAATTTAGTCTGGCTCCTCTATAGCCGGTGGAACAGTTAATTGCTTTAGACTCTTCAGTGCTTCACAGGCTACTGGTGTGATTGTTTCCCCCTCCATTCTAGAGAGTTCTAGGTGTGTCCAGTAGGTGGCTGAGGGGCCCATACATGGTCTTAGGCTTGGAGAAGTGGGTTGCTGTTGGTCTTGGGTTCAATCTTGAAGGAGGAGTCCCTAGCCTGCAGTTACTTCTGGAATATTGCAGTATGTTCAACAAGGTCCAGATTGTGGCTGAGCTGGGGGGCCTATTGAAGGGGTTTTGTCTGAGGGCTTGGTCTGAAGAACTCACTGATGAAGAGTGTCTGGTGGAGGTTGGAAGGAGGTATCCAGCTATCTTGTGGCATTGTGAGCCTTCTCACTGAAGGGTGATAGGTGGATATCGACAGGAGGCATCCGGTGATCCTGTGGCATTGTGAGGACCGACCTAAACTCAGAGCCCTTCTTTCTCTTTCTTTAGGAGGCCCCTGCAATTGCTTTTTTGGAGGTGGCCTTCACAAGAACTTGGTTCCCGCTACCTTTCATGCCTTTTTCATAAAGACTGTTTAGAGAAGTACAGACACAAAAAGGTATACCCAGCATTTCATCTTTCCAAATAACTTTTCTATTTATTCAGTGCATTTTTTTTGTTTTTATTTTTTGTTTTTATCATCATGCTTACGTAGATATCACAATAATATTACAGTCGTATGCAGTGCATAGGCTAGATCAGCCTTTCTCAACCTTTTTACCCTAGGGGAACCCCATAAATAATTTTCAGGTCTCGAGGAACCCTTACTAAATCCAATTCATTAGGGGTCAATGGGGAACATTGCCCTTATATTAGTAGTTACATATAGTTATAGTCATGGCCAAAAATATTTGCACCCCTACATTTCTGTCAGATAATGTACCACTTCGCCAAGAAAATTGTTGCAATTACAAATAGTTAAGCATTCTCATGTTTATTTATTTTGCTTGTATTGGTATGACACAAAAAAAGTGGACAAACAAAATCCACATCTGATATATTCCATTCAAAACTCCAAAAAAGAACTGGACAAAATTATTGGCACCTTCTCAAAATTGCAAGAAATAATTGCATTCCAAATTGGTGAAGCTCATGTGATTTGTAATTAAACTCACCTGTATCAATGAACAGGTGCTGACAATATAGAAATCACACCAGCAACCAATTAAAATGGTGAAAAATTGAATCAACCTTTCTGTGTCTGTGTGCCACAAAAAGAGCATGGAGAAGAGAAAGAGAAGCAAAGAATTGTCTGAGGACTTGAGAACAAAAATTGTGGAAAAGCATGGACAATCTCAAAGTTACAAGTCCATCTTCAGAGATCTTAATTTTCCTGTGTCCACTGTGCGCAACATTGTCAAAAAGTTTACAGTGCATGGCACTAGCTAATCTCCCTGGACGTGACCAAAAGAGAAAAAGATTGCAATGAAGGATTGTTTGAATGGTGGCTAAAGAACCTCGATCAACTTCCTAACAAATTCAAGCTGACCTTCAGGCATGGGGTACAACTGTGTCAGCTCACACTATACGTCATCATCTGAATTGAAAAGGGATGCTATGGTAGGAGACCCAGGAGGACCCAACTGTTGACACAAACAAAAAAGCAAGATTGGAGTTTGCCAAAACTTACCTGAGGAAGCCACAATCCTTTTGGAAGAATGTGCTGTGGACAGGCAAATGTAATTTTTTTGGTAAAGCCTATAATTCTACTGTTTTCAGAAAAAGAAATGAGGTCTTTAAAGAAAAGAATACAGTCCCTACAGTCAAACATGGTGGAGGTTCACTGATGTTTTTGGGGGTTGCTTTGCTGCTTCAGGCACTGGATGTCTTGACCGTGTGCATGGCATTATGAAATCTGAAGATTACCAAAGAATTTTGGAGTGCAATGTAGGGCCCAGTGTCAGAAAGTTGGGTCTCCGTCAGAGGTCACTGGTCTTACAGCAGGACAATGACCCAAAGCACACGTCAAAAAAGCACAGAAATGGTTTCAAACAAAGCACCGGAAAATATTGAACTGGTCAGAAATCCAGTCCAAGTTCAGATCTCAGTCCCACACAGCACCTGTGAAGAGATCTCAAAACAGCAGGTGGGAAAAGGAATCCTTCCAATCTGAAAGACCTGGAGCAGCTGGCAAAAAAAGTGTGCTCCAAAAATCCAGTAGAGAGATGTAAGAAATTAATTGATGGTTACAGGTAGCGATTGATTGCAGTTATTTTTTCCAAGAGGTGTGCTACCAAATATTAAATTGAGGGTGCCAATAATTTTGTATAATTATTTGTATAATAATTCCAG